ACAGGAGAAGAAAAACTTTAACTCTTTTCTGACAGCCATAATTTAAGAAATTTTGTCGATGCAGAATGAGAAAATTATTAAAAAATTGTAAAATATTTACTAACCATGTAATCCTATCAAGCTACATATCATTTTAAAGCTGTGTAAATTTACTGTTCAATAAAGTTGTTTATAAAAATGGTTATGACCTTTGAAATTGTTCTTACTGAGATTGAAATAAAAAAAAAATCTATTTTTTGTCATAAAAAATCAAAATTTTTACTGAAACTCCTTAAATGGTAGACCAAAGGTACATGAATTGAGTTTTTTTTTTTCACAAGGTTCTTTGATCTTTTAGCAAGACAAAAACATGTTTTTGTTGGCTCTCTGAGTGCCATGGGCTTGTCAGCAAGCACATTGAAAAACCACAACTTTCTCCAGCGTGAATAGCATGACAGTAAGATAGGTTTACAGACACTAACAATCTTTTGATTTCTTTTACACAGAATGGCAGTTATACCAGTTCTAACAAAACACTGGTGAGAAATGTCAATATCTACGTATTCTTATAGGCACTGTCTCCCAAAACCTTCAATGGCAAAGCATCATAGCGTTGCCATGACCATGGCAAATGTTCATAAGCAAAGTGACGACAAATGTTCATAAGCAACTTACAGGAGCTATGAGCTATGACAAATGTTCATAAGCAACTTACAGGAGCTATGAAGTACATTACTGAACTCAATCATCTATGTGCCTCCTTGGTAATCTAAGGTATGATACACATAAAAGCAGTTTCTGTCGTTGTTGAGACATAGAACAACATCACATGTCTCACATTTCACATTGGAGTGAGATTGGACTCCAGATGACGTACACACTTTACATCTACCATGACTGCTGTCAACAACTGGGAGGTGAGAGGCTTCATTCCAGGCATTTTTTGGTAACTTGGGTTGCTTCCCCCTGACAGGAACTGGGTCAGCTTCTTCAATACTGACCAGCTGTCATACAAGGGCTTCCCTGAATGCCAATTGGTCATATCCCTTTGGTCGTTGCAGGTCAGCTCTTTCTGGGTGTTGACTTTGATATTCTTTCCACAGTACAAATGCATTGACAATGCTAACATCAATCAGGTGAAAAAATAGTACTTTCCAATACTTTTTCACTTTTCATAGCACACTGTATGATCCAATCAGTTGGTCTGATTGGTCAACCCCTTTCATGTTCCTGTTGTAATCTTGAATAGCCTTTGGCTGTTTCAAGACTTTGATAGAGAACCTTCCTGTGTGAGGATCCTTACATCGCCGTCTACACCAGACACTGTCACTTCCTTTGTGGATGGTGCTCAGCATACTAACAACTTTGTCATCTTTCCACTGGATGCCAAGAACATCTCCATCAAACCGTTGCCACCTTTGTTTTCCAAGGTTCACCTTTAGCCCATGCACCACTTGTTTTCATTTCTTTGGGAAAATGCTTCCTGTTTGCTGATGTAGTACCACAGGCTAGAAGTCCCAGTTGTTTCAAGTCTACCAGAAGAGGAAGGGAGGTATAGTAATTATCAGAGTACACATGATAACCTTGTTGACGCAAGCACTCTGTTCCACAACCACATCATAGCCAAGCCCTTTTCCTGATGTTGCTGTTCTGGCTTTTCCAAGTTACACATTGAAATTATAAGTGTAACCTGTATCTGAATCAGCCAGGACCCACAGTTTCAAACCCCATTTTGTGGGCTTGTTTTTATTGTATTGTCTCATACCAGATCTGTGCTTGGATCGCACCATTCTCTCATCCACTGCAACTTCCTTGCTGCATTGGAAAAATTCTTGGCAGGACTGCTTGACATTGTCAATCAAGTATCATACATGTCGGAGTTTTTCATTGTTATCCATAGCTGTATGATCATTACATCTGAAAAATGCCATGATTGCCCTAAACCTGTCCCTGAAGGAAATCATACGACAAACCCAGTTGCCATTGTCCAATGATGCAATGATGCAGAGGACCAGTAATACTCTTGCCAAAGTAACTGCATGAAGCCCATATAAATCAAGCAGGCAATAAAACCATACATTTCACTGACAGATATCAAATCCCAGCCTTTGGCTTTGTTTTGATAGGTTGGATTGTCATCAATGTGTTCCTGGGCATAGGCATTTGTGAAATCTCAGAGTTTTTGAAGTAATGCTACTGAAAAAAATAACTTGAAAAAGTCCACCTCTTTGCTGAACCGCAGTATAGCATCTTGCCTTGTTTGGTCCGCTAATTGAGGCCCAGTGGGTCTTCTTGGGTTGAATGGGACAGCGGGCCTATACGTATCAGCAGTGTCATACCCTTCAGTCAACTCCTGTCTGACCCTTCTCGCTGGGGGCTCATCATCATCTTCATCTGAGGATGCATCTTCCCACTCTGATCCATCATCTTCCATCTCTTCATCGTGGCCCAGTTCTTCATTCTCAGACAATCCATTGTCAGAACTCTCACTATCACTCATTGATGAAACTGTGGTCGAAAATCAGGTGGTAAAAATAAAAAATTGAAAGACAAAAGCACCGATCAGTAATGCAAAAATAGAAATTTTGAAATCAGTAAACATCAGTTATTAAGTGCAGATGACAGAAATTTTAAATTTTTTTGGGGAAAAAACTTGATTACTGAGGTAAGTGATCGCTAAACACAATGAAATTGCGATAAGATTGACAACACCGACCTTCAAAACGAACGCAAAATAGAAAAAATACGACTCACCTTTCCGTCATTACACCTCTAAAATGCTTCAAAATGACAGGTGAAAGCCACGCGAAATCCTCTTTTATGTGCTGGGGAAAAAATATGTCTATATATATGATTCACCCAACGTTTCCTCGCTCTGAAGCCACGTTTTCTTCGGATTTGCATTTAATTGAGCATGTGTAGCAAAACAAACTTTGCTGACCACTCAAACTGGGGTGGTACATTTTAGTACCAGTCTCCTTGGTTTTGTCAGAAAAGAGTTAAAGGCATCATGGTGTTCTACCTATCTTGTATGACAGTTCTTTTAATGTCCTTCTGCTTTCACCTTCAGGAATAAACGATGTCAGAAATTCTGACGTTTAGGTAAATTATCGAAGAAACAAACAATGCTATCTGGAAGGTCTGTAGCATTGCTTACTTTGAGAACTGAGGAGCACTTAACCACGCACAAGTTCAGCATATGGTCTGCACAGTATGTAAACAGGGCCTTGGAATACTGCTGTAGGATGTGTGCAGCTGCCCCCTTTGTGGCACCTGCATTGGCACCATCATAGGCCCGTCCACACAAATTGGTGAGCTCTAGTTGCCAATTGGGAAGATTTCTTGTGATGTTTTCAACAGTGGCTTCACCAAGCTGCATTTGCTGAACCCCAGAAAGTATTCCTGTGGATTGCTGTTGTTGTCAAGAAATCTGTCACTGATAGCAAGTTGTTCAGATTTCTCATGATGTTTTTGGCAATGGCTTCATCAAGTTGCATTCGCTGAACCCCAGAAGTACCGTAGTTATTTAGTTATAAGGCGCACAGTTTTTTCAAGAAAAATCTGTCTTTAGGTGGCAAATTAGTTCTAAAATTGGGGTGCGTCTTATAGCCAAGTATTTTCGCACAACAAAATCGTAAGATCACAATTTGAGAAGAACTTACAGTTTAAAAAACACCAGAACAGGACACTAGTTGTTGGTCATTGACTTTTATAGATTTGGTGGTTCTGAAAAGAACCAGGGTGGCTCTGAAAAGAGCCGTTGAGGTGGTTGTTGTGTTGTTTGTCTTGTCGCCTAGTCTTCCTGCTCGCTGTCCGTGTCGAACTCGTTGTCTGCTTCATCAGCTCCAGCCCCTTCCTCCTCCCACACAGCTTCATCCTCGGTGCTGTCCAGAGCATTCGAAATTCCACAGGACTTGAAGGAGTTGGCGACTAAATCGGCAGGTATCTCTTGCCAAGCTTTGTGGATCCACTGCAAAACAAGTTCCTTACTCGGCGCTCGCTTTTTCCCCGACAGAGTGTAAGTAAACGGACCGTTTACCATCCAAGCCTGATACTGGGAACGTACCTTGTTCTTAAACAGCTTGTTAATGCATTTGTCAAGGGGCTGCAACACGGGTGTAAGTCTGCCAGGGATAACAGCGACGTCAACATTTCGCCTGGCCAGAAGATCTTTTACGGCCTCCGTTAAGTGACCACGAAATGAATCCCAGACGAGTAGAGCTTTTCGGTCTGCGGTGTAGCGAAGATTGTGCCTAATCCACTCCTTTATTCCTGTGAATTAAAAAAGAATACTGCCTTTAGAGACCTTTAGAACACTAAACGACTTCAGGAGAAAAGGAAACAAACAGAATTTGCATACGTGCTACATACGTGCTTAACAGCACGTGCTCAGTAACATGATATCCTTGACAACAATACAATCGTTCAAACCTCGTTTTGAATTCTGATAATCGTGTCACTTACTCGAAAAGTGTCTTCTCTGAAATAAGCATTTTGGAGGAAAAAACATACCTTCTTCGTCCATCCAGCCTTTCTTGTGTACTGAAATCTGCATCCTTGGTGGCGTGTTGATATTCAGTTGTCTAACACCTTTGAAAATGACTTTTGGTGGGAGTTTTTCACCGTTCGCTTTCATGGCCAGAGCAACCGTGAAACTCTGCTTGTCGGCTCCGCAGGACAACACTGGGACTGTTCTGCTCCCAGTGCTCCTTTTGTTTATGTTAACAAAGAGAGTTTACATGCCAATTGTGTAAGGATAATTGTTGTCAGATTCATCACATCCTTTTGTTAACTATCAACTTTTCGGTGCGTCTTATAACCAAGTATTTTCACGTAATTTTCAGTTTGAGAACTCAACTCAATTAAATTGCTAAGTTTGGGGTGCGTCTTATAACCGAGTGTGCCTTATAACTGAATAACTATGGTATTCCTGTGGATTGTGGTAGCTATCAAGAAATCTGACACTGATGGGAAGCTGTTCAAAGTTAGACAAGTTGCTCATCAGCAATGACTATGTAGAATCAGGCTTCCCTTACTTCCTCCAGGATCAAGCCTCTGATCAAATGACTGCAGATCATAATCAGCTCATTCTGGATTGTCTTGCTTGTGTATATCACATTCCCAGCACATGAATTGAAGTGCTCATCCAGGATTGAATTGCCTCCACATGCCCTATACTGTAGCAGTGCCAGAAAGTTTCCATGGTTTCTGTCGAGGTCATTGGCCACATCACTGCTGTCATCTTGATGACTACGAAGATCTATTCATTGTCACCCACACATCAGGATTGCACTGGCAATGGAGGCTAGCTTGCGTTGGTTTTCCTTAACTTGCTTTGCTCTTGAAGAATTGATGTGTTGATCCACTAGCTTTGCTTTTTTGGACGTGGTTTGAAGGAACTCGTCAGCAAATTCTACAGCCCGTGCTTGATACTGACTTGTGCTGAAATGGGAATGTAGCTTTCCTGTCTTGCCAGGTGTCTTTTTCCAGTTGGTTTATTGGGCTGCAATCAGAACGCCAAATTTGATTATTGTGGAGTTTATGGAGTTCTGGAAAAAGCACACAGTACTTACAGTTTGCCCCACAGTGTTTCTCAGAGTACACAAGTCCATTGCATTTCTCTATCCAAGAAAACTGGAAAGACCTGGTCCTTCCCCCTATATGGGAAAACATAGTTTGAACTAGGCACAAAGTGCTTTGTTACCAAATATTACTGCTCACTATCAGTTAGTGATCGTGATTTCTTAAGTTCAACTGCCACTCCAAAATCTTCAGATTGAATGTCACTGCTAGATATAGAGCTACTAGTGGGTATGAACTTCACTTGGCCAATTCATGATCCAGTGAATGGCCACTTGCAGCCTCACCCTCCTCATTCTCTATGAGGATGCCTTATGGTGTAGCAAGACCACGGCTTGTAGACGGCCCCACTGGGCCACATACAGTACAACACAAAATGCTATTTTAGCTATATGCAGCTACAATTTGATGATTGACAGGGTGAGGCTTCCATTTTAAAATCATTTTGTTGTCTTAACACTGAAGATGATTGTAGATCGAAAAACATTTTTACAATTTATAGATAAAATCTTAACAGAGTGGCTTGATGACTGTTTCGCTATGACACGAAATTACTGAAATTATTGTCATAATTATTATGAAGTGACGTAACAATCTGTTATTAGTAAAACAAAATTAAATGACTACTAGTCAATACCTTGTCTTGAGAATATTGCATCAAGTTTAGGGATCACAACTCTTGCTGATGTTGAGGTAAGTATTTCTACTTCCGGAAAACGGCTGAATTCATCTGTTACAACCATGATGTAATCACCAAAGGGGAACGGTCCAGCAAAATCCACTGCGACTTCTCTCCAAGGTCCGCTAGGGAGTGGCGTCATTCGAAGGGGTTCAATCGGTGGTGACTTGGTCGATGCAGCTTGACATGAAAGACAGCTTTTGACCTTCTCTTCTGTTAGGTTGTCGATTCCGGGGAACCACACTTTGTCTCGGATGAGTTGCTTTGTTTTGACAATCCCCTGGTGACCACCATGTGCCAGGTCTACTGCTTTACTTCTGAGAGTAAATGGTATCACAATTCTGTTTCTTCTCAATACTAGTCCATTGAACACTGATAATTCTTCCTTGAGCTTCTTGTATTTCTGTACGTCTGGAACATTCCATTGGCCAGTTTCCACAGCCTTGACGACAGCTTGCATTTCTGCATCATTTCTGGTTTCGTGTTTTATTTCTTCGAGCGTCATTGCTCTTGGTACAGCATTAGAGCATACATAGTTGGCATAATCTTCAGCCAAATTTTGTTCTTCTGGTGCTGTGGGACACGGATGTCGGCTCATGTAATCAGCAGGGTTTTCGGCATCTCTTCCAGGCCGATAGATCAGCTGACAGTCGTAGGGCATGAGTCGAAGTTTCCACCTGTCCATTCTTGGGGAAGTTTGCTTGTGGTTCTTAAAGATGCCTATGAGAGGTTTATGATCAGTAATAACAGAAAACTGGGCACCATAAACATACAGATGAAAATGTTCCACTCCCCATACTACGGCAAGCATCTCTCTCTCTGTTTGGGAGTAGCGACTTTCCACATCACTCAAAGCACGGCTTGCATAACTAAGAATTTTGCCTTCTTGTACTAACAGTCCACCAAGACCAGTTGGACTCGCATCGACAATGATTTCGGTCTTCTTTCTTGGATCAAAGTAGGACATAACTTGATCCCCAGCGAGGGCTTCTTTCAGCTTGTCCAATGCCTTTTGTTCTTCTTGCTCCCATTTCCAAGGGGTGTCCTGTCGGGTCAGCAGGCGCAAAGGGGTCGTGATTGTGGCATAGTCTGGTATGAATCGGGAGACGTACTGTGCCATACCAAGAAAAGACTTCAGTTCACTATGGTTCCGAGGAGATTGTGCCTCGTGGATTGCTTTAACTTTCTTTGGATCAGGTCTAACACCGACAGAGCTGAAAATGTGACCATAGAACTTGATTTCAGTTTTGGAAAACGCACACTTGTCTTTGTTGAGACGGAGGTTATTTTCTTTAAGCCTCTGGAGAACACCACGGAGATTCTTGTTGTGTTCTTCCTGGTCTTTTCCAAATACTATGATGTCATCTGAGATGTTTTTACATCCTGGGAGGCCAGAAAGGAGTTCCCTGATCTTTTCCTGGAAAATTTCGGACGCTGCATTAATTCCAAAAGGCAAACGTTTGTATCTTCTTAGGCCAGCATGTGTACTGAAGGTTGTGACATAACGACTTTCAGGTGATAACTCAAGCTGGTGGTATCCTGAGGACAGATCTAATGTACTGAAAAGCGTTGCACCATTCAAATCAGCAACAAGGTCATCAATGGTTGGCATGAGATGCTTTTCCCGCTTAATTGCTTGGTTTGCCTCACGCATATCAACACAGATTCGAACTTCTCCGGATTTCTTGGGGACGACAACAATTGGACTGATCCAGGGTGTGGGCCCTTCAACTTTCTCGATGATGTCGAGTTTCTCAAGTCTCTCAAGCTCTTTTTCGACATCGTCTCTAACATGAAATGGAATTCGTCTGTGGGGTTGCTGTCGGGGTGTAACATCGGGGTCAATGTGTAACTTCACTTGTTTGTTTGGTACTTTCCCTATGCCTCCAAACAGTGATTTGAACTCTTCTTTTAGAGACTCCGGGTCGTCTTTGTTTCTTTCAGTGACGGTGGCAGTATTAATAGAAACCGCAATCAGACCTAGTTTCTTTGCAGTGTGATAGCTGAGAAGATTTCCGTTTTCTCCTTTAACAACAGTCAGCTGAGCGGAGGTGCTCGCGTTACTGGATTTCACGGTTGCAGTGAGGATTCCCAGGGTAGGAAGAGGGACTTTAGATCCATATGAATAAATCTTGGTGTGAACAGGCTGCAGGCTTTCACTGCCGTGACTGTTAATTCTTTGAAAGGTTATTTCATCAAGAAGATTAACAGATGCACCCGAGTCGATCATCATGTTCACGTTTCTTCCATTGATTTGTAGCTGACATATGGGTGGCTTCTTGTTTTCTTGATGGTCGACAGTGTAAACGTACTCATATTCTTCATCAGAGGTTTGACCAGTTTCCACGGAGGCCACGGTACGAGGTTTTGAACGACAAACATGAGCAAAATGGCCAATTTTCCCGCAGGCTTTACAGACTTTTCCTTGCGCAGGACATGGATTTTTGTGAGGTGCGTACCCGCCACATTTGCCACATTTTCTGGGAGAATTGCCTTGCTTGTTTCCAAAACGACGATTGCGTGATTGTGTGTCACGCCGGTATCGTGGGCGGCTTTGCCGATTCTCTTCTTTTCGTTTGATTTTGTTGACGGCTTGGAATTCGCCTCCGGTATCTTCTACGTCTTTCGCTTGTTTTTCACTGAGTTCTAATGCTCTTCCTAGATTCAATAAACCTTCTAACGTTGGGTTTTCACGTAGCGCTCGGCGTCTAAGCGAGCTGGAACTGCACGTCAGAATAATATGTTCTTTAATTTCTTTGTCAACATCGCTGAATTCGCAGGTTTTCGCGAGTTGGCGAAGCCTGGTGTGAAAACTATCAAGCGACTCACCCTCTTTCTGCTTCGTCTGGCGAAAATTATATACTTCATATGTGGTGTTGACTTGTGGGGAGAAATACTCGTTAAGTTTCGCGACCGCCGTGTCATAGTCGCCGTCTTCGCCAGTGTTTGGTAAGGTGTCGAATATTTCGTCTACGTCGGTGCCGGCATAATGCAGCAACAAAGCCCGTTTCCTTTTCGCAGCTGTGATGTTCATTCCGATAAGCATTCGTTCTAAGCGTCCTAGCCATCTTTTCCATCGTGGACCTGCACTGCCATCGGCATGGACGTCGAACGGTGGAAAACTTGGTAGCGAAACCGCCATGAGGTCTCACAGAGTTGAGCGCGTCGCAAACAGCACGTGCTTTCAAGAAAAATTTACACAGCGAACTCCTCAATGAAAACCAGTGTTGATGTGAATATTGACTGTGGGATTCATGAATTTTTAGAATCCTCGTCGCCAGATGTGGTATCGAGAGTATCAGTCTCGAATAGAGCTAAAGTAAAATGAACCACAACGCCCTGCTTGTAGTAAAAACCTTGCTTTTTTTAATAATACTCTCTCTCTCTAGTCACGTGATCCAACATGATTGAATCATGTAAAAAGCTTTCCCTCAAATACAACACCAAAAGACAGATTGCAAATTTCTCCTCAACAAAAGGAATCCTAAACTTTTTAACGTGGGTCAATTTTGAATTTGCCCGCCATAGCGACATCGCGACACGTCACAAGGCGCAGCTATAAAATTACTTTTTGCGAGTTATGAGCAAGAACAAACCAATTTTACACCTAAATGAAAAGTTTCACTTTGAACAATGCATATATGTTCTTCGCTTAGGCAAACTTTTGCTCCAAGCGAGTTACAAGGGGGCAAACTTTGCAGAGGAGATTGTTTTGGTCTTCTGCGGTCGGGTCAGCAAGATGTAAATATTTCTCCAGAGTCATGAAGCGGTGCTCTGAGATCGTTTTTTTAAAGCAATCAACTCCAACAGACTCGTCAGAATCCCAGTACATTGCCAGCTGAGGAAGTTCATGGATTCCAATGAGAATGTTTAGCCCGAGATACACTGAAATTTCCGCTTGCGTAGATGTGAACGATCGATCCCCTTTCGAACGAGCGTACGCTACGGTGTATCGGACGATTTCGTCAATGTAAGCATCGTCGATAAATACATTGAAGAAATCTTTGGCAGTTGCATTTTCTCCGAGATCTCTGGTCGGGCCACGACGAATGGAGAATTCCTCAACATTAATTTGTTGCAATTAGCTAGACCATTGAAGAGCATTTGGTCGGCTTCTGCGGCAGATTCTTCATCACTACTTTTGTTGCTTTCTTCTTCCTCCTCACTAGCGTATGGCTCAACATCGGAATCGCTTCCCCTTTCTTGCGACCGTAGGTCGAAAAAGTCTTCCATCTCGTCATCCACATTGCGAAGTAAGTTTTGTTCATGCTGTGCTTGACGAGCTTGTCGCTTTTTTCAATTTCTTCGATGATAAAACCAGCAAAGACTTCTTACTCTTCATTGGATGAAAATTAACTTTCATCAATTCTTCCAGAAGCCATGTCTAAGACCACGACATATTTTTGAAAAATTTGTCAAAAATCGCATGGTAAACGTGGAATAGTGAGTTTGGTCTCAAACAAAAGCTTATTTTTTGCATGTCACGTTTCACTGCTTTTCAATACCCAGGGGAGTTTTGTTTTTAAGCTACAGCCAATCAAAACAAGCCATTTCTGACAGGGCGCATGAGGGCGCATTGGAATTTCAGAGGGGTTTTATTTCTGGGTGCATGAGGGCGCATCGGATGTCAATGGGTTAATACTGTACTTGATGTTTAATATATCAAAGATGACAATATACAGTATTAAGAACAATTTTATACTGTGAAATATAAATAGCATGAATCTTATAACCAAGATTACAAAAATGTATCAAATAATTCTTGATGTTACAAAAGTGTGCCAAGAATATTTATTCTATGTATCACTCTGTCTACACTTTGGTTTGAAAGGTTGACTTTTATGACAGAATTAATTCAGGATTTTGTCTCTTGTTTGACCTGAAGGCCAAACCAAGCAAAGCCGCCGGCACCAGCCAGGCTTTGTTGACCACCAAAAGCGACAGTGGTGCCACAAGTCTCACATGATTTGGCATGGCGTGCACAATGAGATGTGGCAAATGCTCTCAATAATTACCCCAGACTCCTCGTTGTGCCTTTTGATCTTCCAGTAATTAAATACACTACAGTCACATATGAATCACTAGGGAGCTTAAGCAAATGGCTATGGCTGGTGCTGCTAAGGCTACTGGAAGTAAAATTGTCAAAAAACGAGTCATTGAGCATGTCAGTTGTTCCCATCCAGCCGTAGCATGTAATCCTTCTACGCTAGTGGGAAGGTTTTGGCGTACTCTGTGGTACGTGGACTTATCTTGCTTCTTTCTCTGCTTCATACAGTCTCCTTAGATAAGACTTTGTCTATTTCATCGAGAGATTTATCCTAGAAAGGCGAGCATCCTCGTAAGAGAATGATAGAAACATGTGCAAAGTACAGCTTGTTACAAGTGGCTCGCACCAGGCACCTATCGGGCAAATCATAACTAGTGTCCAGATCTCTCATCTAATGTTGCGTTGTGCTCTATCTCTCCCCAAGTCTTTAGTGTTCCTCATGCTTGCATATGGGGGATAGTGAAGACTGATAAGAACACAAATGTTAATTTGAATTAAAGAACAAAACTAAATATGGAATAGTGTCATTTGACTGTCTCATGGATCTAATGACTAAGTCACTGTTCCAATAGTCCTTTGGAGTTAAAGTCCCGTAGCCGACGCAGGGCTAAGGGAGGTTTCTTTGGTTGTTCTGGGGGTTTCGGCGGGCTTGACGGCGCCAGTGGATCTGCTTGGGGGCTGGACGCGTGCGTTCGTGGAGTTGCTGTCAAGGGGTGCTCAGGAGATGGGGAAGGTGTTTGGTTGCTAAGTTGTATCTGTGGTGCATTTGGCTTTGGGCTGGGGCTGTGGTGGTCAGGTGTCACTGCTGCCGGGGTTGGCCCAGTTAGTGGCTGTGCGGGGGATGGTTGTGGGGGCATCCTTGCTTGTGCTGGGGTGGGGGCGATTGGCTTGGGCGGTCTGTGTGGCAGCATAGCAAGATGACGCAGGTCGTCATCAATTGTTAGGTGGGGCGGTGTGGTCCGTACCGGAAGGTATTTCCTTAAGAACTTGCGGTTGCGGGTAGTCATCCTCCCTGAGCCGTCGATGCGGATGACATACTGGTCGAATTGGCGAACCTCGACCACGACTCCTGTCTTATCCCACTTAGTGGGGTAGGGGCCTGTTTGGTTCTGGATGCGGACATGGTTACCAACGGCCAGGGGTGGGAGTCGCTTGGTGTGCTCAGACCATCTCTCTGCAGCTTTCATGTGGCGGTTTCTTAGTGCTGCTTCTCTTGTCGCGAGGGTGTCACGCCAGGTAGGGTGTGGTTGGTAGCGACGAGGTAAGATAGGTATGAAGTCCTTGATTGGCCTGCCGAAGACACATTGTGCAGGGGATAGCTGAGTATTCGGGTCGGGTGTGTTTCGATATTGAAGGACTGCACGCTGGAAGGAGTCAGTATCTAGGCTACCAGATGGGGTGGTGTTGTCAGTGATGAACCGTTTGACTGATTTGACGCCAATCTCTGCCCTGCAATTTGAGTGTGGGAATGCCACTGACGACAGACGGTGGTGTATGCCCCAGTCTTTCAGGAATTGGCGTGTGGCTGTTGCTGTGAATTCAGGGCCGCCATCTGTTGCGAGTTCGTCTGGGATGCCGAATGTGGCAAAGGTTCGTCGTAGACAGTCGATCAGGCCTGTAGATCCCTCTCTTGCTCGCTCAACGAGGGGCCAGTTGGAGTAGCGGTCTACGATAACAAGGTAGGTAACCCCTTTGTAGTGAAAGAAGTCGGCGCAAACACATTGGAACGGGTAGGCTGGGGGTACAACTGGAGAGGGCGGTGAACTCGGTTGAGAGGGTGCCATGCGGTTGCAGTGGTTGCAGGTTTCCCGTAGGGCAATGATGGCTGGGGTGATGCCTGGCCAGAACACTGTGCTTTCGGCGCGTGCTGTCATGGAAGTCACTCCTTGGTGGGCTGAGTGCAAGACAGTCAGAATATGCTGGCGGAGAGAGGGTGGTATCACGATGCGATTCTTGTAGAGGATGATGCCATCAACTGTATAGAGGTGTTCGCGAAATTGATGGTACTCCCGAAGGGCAGGTGGTAGCTCGTTACGGGATTTAGGGAATCCAGTCTCGATAAGATGAATTAGCTGGGTCATTGCCCTGCTGCTTGTTATGGCCAGCTTGACCCTATCCCATGTGACGGCAATAGTGTTTAATGCCGATGAGGCTGATGAGGCTAGCTGGTCGTCAATGGTGATGGAGCAAGTGCCCGGTTGTGGTTCGGTGTGGCGGATGCCGGCCAAGAAGGAGCGTCCGGAGTTATCTAATTGTGGGAGAGCGGCCAGGGTTGCGGTTGCCGCGGCTATGTCGTCTGGCAAGACTAGCAGGTCTGGTTTGGTGGTTCCCGTAGGATGGCGGGATACAGCATCGGCAGCTTTGTGTCGCACGCCAGGGATGTGTACCATTCGGAACCGGTAACGTAAGCTTTTCTCCTTGAGGTTGCGGAGCCGGGCGTTGGTGATATCTTCAAGGGACCGGTCTCCAAACACTTTTAGGAGGGGCTTGTGGTCGACAGCAATGATCAGGTTACTGCAACCCAGGACAAAAAATCGGGCTTTGTCAAGCGCGTCGGCAACGGCTAGGGCTTCGCCCTCTACTGGGGCATAGCGTGATTCAGCGGCGTGTGTGAAACGGCTCCCAACCAAAGTGATCTTCCAGCCTGTACGACAACAGAAGGGTTCGGGGGATGGGCACTGGCAGTGTTTCTGGAACAGCCAGAATCCGATGCCGCTTTTGGACCAGTCGGTTGCCAGGCAGGTTGGTTTAGATTTGTCAAAGATACGCACACCCTCTTCGATTTCACTGATAATCACTGATTTGGATTCTTCAAAGAGTGTGTGCAGTTCGTCGGTCCATTGGAAAGGGGTGCCGGGCTGGAGGAGCTGGCGGAATGGCAACATGCGCTCAGTCGCTGCGAAGGCATAGGAGACCTGGTTGATCAGGCCAAACCAGGAGCGGACATCCGTGATGTTGGCTGGGATTGGAAAGTTGCGGATGGCATCGAGGTATTGTTTGCATGGCCGCACACAGCTTGGGGTGATCTCAAATCCTGCGAATTCGACAGTGTCGGCTCCGAAGACGAACTTGTCTTGGTTAAGTATGATACCATT